ACGTAACCGGGGTGGTGTCTGGGGGGGGGGGTAACTAGTGAAAGAAAATAGTTCACTTCCCACTGTCTTCTCTATGGATGTGTATAATATTGAGTGTGTGTCTGGCCCTGCTGTCTCCTAGCTGTTAGCCGAGTAAGTGTGACTATTAAATATGAGTATGGACTGTCTGACCACAGCCGTGTATCACACTAAATAAAGTTATTTCACCAACACCTTCGCTGTCCTGCTGCTGGAGCCGGCGGAGGGGGGGGGTGGGGACCTGGGGGTGCCTCGGTTTATTTAACTCCTGGGTTTAACAGGTCTGTCCTGCACAGGGTACGGTGGAAGAAGGACGAGCTTAATGGCCGTAAAGCTGGCTTTGGGAGTGGGATGGGGAGAGATCCGGGATGGGGTCCACTCCAGGAGGGCCCTGAGGGTTGTGGGGGGACTGGGCCGAGGGGGTGTGATGGGATCCCCAAGCCCTTGCAAGCCCCTTCCTCCCCTTGGGGTGTGAGGTGTTGCGGGGCGCCAAAGGGAACCACAGGGCCCCCCCTCTCCCACAGGCACCCCACCAGGGAGGGGTGTAAGGTGTGGGGTGGGATAACCTGTCCTGAGACGTCGGGATCCCTCGTGGTGCCACCTCAACATCCTGGACGCAGCAGTGGAGATGGTGTATGACGTGCTGCACCGCATCGATGGAAGTGGGACACCAACGTCACCGACACACGTGACATCACCTGGCTGGCTACCAGCGCTGATGGTGGGCTACGGTGGCTGTGAGTGAGGGCCTGAGGGGGAGGGAGGGGGACAGGGGGTGGGACTGGCTCACTTTGAGGGGCCACCCTGTCTCCCTGGCAGGAGAGAGGTGTTTGGGGGACAGGACACCCCTTGGGACCTCCGCTACAAGAGGCAGTTCTTAACAGTGAGGCTCTGAAGGGGTGTGGTGGGAGCTGCTTGGTGGACGTGGTGGGACCACCAAGCGAACTGGAGGGGGTCACTTGGGCCACTCGGTGTGGACCCCACCCATTGTTCGTGCAGGTGAAATAACTTTTTTTCTTGTTCAGGACGGTGCCTGAAGCCTTTAGAGAATGGGGCTGTGGTGACACTGTGATTCTTGAAGGTTGAGGATGAGTATCGCGCCCTATCAACTTCTCTGTCAAACACCTGGTGAGTCAAGAGCAGGCTGGGCTAGAAGGCTTTCCCATTACGGTGGTGCTGTGGACTGGAGGGTCCAAAAATGGTGTGTGAGTGGATGCAGGCAGGCTGCAGGAACAACCAGGAGACCACAAATAAAAGAACAGAACAAGTTTAATCTTGATGCCTCATAACTCGGAGAGTCTCCGAAGTGGCACTCGGGTGGAGACACTCGAGCAGGGGACGCAGGGACCACAAAGCCAGCCAGAGTCCTTGTTAGCCAGAGTCCTTAGCAGCCAGAGTGTGCAGGAGCGGGGAAAAAGGGGAGCCTACCTCCCTGCTTTGCTGGTATTTCGAGTTCCAGCAGGCATAGTCCTCCCCCTTGTGCTTTGATCTTCTCCAACAACAGGGCAGGATCCTTGAGCGGCCAGATAAGGTGTCCCCGAGTCCATCACAGGCGTTAAGTTATCTCAGTGTGGACGTTCTGCTCACAGGCTCGAGACCAAACAGCAATTAGCATCATAGATGTGTTTTCCAGCACCCCAGATGCGAGTCACTTTGGTGAGGAGGATTGTAAATACGCTCATCTTCCCGTTACTTTCCCACAAATGGTGTCCTGGGGCTGGTCACCAGCTGTATGAATTCACCTGGATTGAAGTCCAGGATGGTCTCCTGAGGAGGGTACGGCACTGGTTCCCTCAAAGCTGAGCTACACTCGCTCGGTGTCAGCCTGGCAGGAGCACAGCAAGGTCCTGCCTGTGTCAAACTGGGATCCCAGAGCCCCTGGGATGGAGCGGGTCCAGAGAAGGGCGACAAAGATGGGGAGGGGTCTGAAGAATAAGTCTTGTGAGGAGAGGCTGAGGGAACTGGGGTTAATCAGCCTGGAGAAGAGGAGGCTGAGGGGAGACCTTATTGCTCTCTACAACTCCCTGAAAGGAGGGTGTAGAGAGGTGGGGTCGGTCTCTTCTCCCAAGTCACAGGCGACAGGACAAGAGGAAATGGCCTCAAGTTACACCAGGGGAGGTTCAGGCTGGATATTAGGAAAAATTTTTTCACTGAAAGGGTTCTCAGCCATTGGAATGGGCTGCCCAGGGAGGGGTCCCATCCCTGGAGGTGTTCAAAAGACGGGTTGATGTAGTGCTGGGAGGTATGGTTTAGTGATGATGCTCCTTGTTTGTTGTGTGGGTGTCTATTTTTGTCAGTGAGGTTGACGGTTGGACAAGATGATCTTTAAGGTCCCTTCCAACCTAGAAGATTCTGTGATTCTGTGATTCCTGTACGAGTTCCTCAGCGTGAGGCAGCTCCTCTGGGCCTCTTGCCCGGGTCTTTGCCCGGTATTTTCAATGCCAGACCTGGGAGAGGGCAGGGAAGAGGGAAGGCAGCACGTGTCCGCTGTGTCTGCACAGGAAACATCCTCCACGGGAGGATCTGGCAAGACCTTTTCTAAGCTTCCATGGTTGTTTCCTGCTGCTTGCCCTCTCAGCGGTGGTGCTGCAGCGTGTCCCCTTGCTGGAGATCACCTGTAGGAGCAGCCTGTCCTAAGGGAAGGGTGAGAGGGGCAGCGGTTGGGAGAACCGACGCTGCTGGCCCCTCCGCAGGGAGGAACATCACGTGGTTTACAATAGGGGGTGGGAGGGAGCTTTTAAAGCAAATCTTTGGGTTTTGTAGCCTTTTCTCTCATGATGTGACTGTCTGAGACACCCTGTGCCAAGACCAGATGGGGCCAGGAGCCCGCAGGTGGCCTCTGCCAACCCTGAGTTACGCTGAGGGAGAGGAGCGCTACGGAATGGTTCTGAGGTGTAACCTGCCCTGCCTTAACACAACACAGCTCCTTCTGGGACTGCTTCTGTCACTCCAGAAGGTTCAAGTGACCTGTAATACCTTTGCCCGTCTGCTTCCCTGGCCAGGGAGTTATTCATTGACAAGCTAAAGCCGCTCCAGCGCTCATGACCCTTGGCAAGTCGCTAAAAAAGAAATCCCATGTTGCTGGAGCTGTTGTTTTCCCAGCAGGGACCAGTAATTACCCCTTTGTCCCTCCAGTTCTGGAGGATGAAATGGACTGTGGTGGCCAGGACAAACCCTGTTGGTGCTTTGTCAATGAAGATGCCTGAAACATGACTGTGTCTTGGGAAAGAATCCGCTCTTTCCTGTCAGCCCACAGCCTGTCACGGGCTGCAGAGAGCGCCTGAGTAATCACCTCTGAGTAATGGCAGGGAGGAAGCTGCTCGAGGCAGGGGAGATCTTCCTGGAGCCCCGGCGAGGGACTGCTCAGGAGTCCCCAAGGAACACCAAAATGCTGGGAAACTGGTGTGAGACTGGAGAGGCCAATGTCCCATGGGACACAGAGGCCCGTCTCCATGGAAGAGCTCTCCGCCTCCCTTCTCAGGGAGTTACACTGGGGCTTCTAGGACGCTTATTTCCCCAGTAGAAAAGCTGATTTTTTTTAATTCTGAGTGAAAGTGGTTGTTCTAGTATATTTTTCTCTGCTTGCTCAGCCCAGCATTCGAGCCAAGAGCAACCTGGCTGTGTCAGGGCTGGCTCAAGCAAGTTGTGTTTGTGCCACCACAGACAAAATCCTCCACTGCAGCAGCGCTGAAACACCGCTCCCGGCTCATCAAGGGCAGTGGAAAAAACAGCCTTAAACCAGCACCGCACCTCGCCTGGGTCTCCCCCCTCCCTCTCGCAGGCTGCAAGGGCAACTGGAGCCAAGCCTTGTCCCAGTTTTCCACCCGGCATTCCCCTGGGGGGTGGTGCTGACAAACAGCCCTCCATGGAGACTTCCTGGGTAGGAATAAGACTCGGTTTATTGTTTCAGTTATTACAGATAAGCAGAAACCACTGCACAGAAGGCCAAGGGCTGTCCTGATGCCATTTACAAGGTGATACTAGCACACGTTTTTGCACCCACATTTGCTGATAACCAGCACGTTTTCATCTGTGCAGGGCACAGCAGGGTTCCACACCTCCTCTGGGGGACAGGGAAGGGGAAAGGTTTGCCTCAAAGTGAGGGGAGAGTTCTGATGGGAGCACGTGAGAGGGACAGGGCTGTGCCAAGTGAAAGGAGAGAGGTTCAGAGAGTGAAACCCTTCGCCGTGCAAGCACCACACCTGAGGGAACCTGGCCAAGTACCCACAGCAGTTCAGGAACGTGCCCCAAACATCTCGGTCCTGTATCACAGGGGTCGTTAAGCAGCAAAGAGGTACAAATGTGCCTCGGCAAATGAGTGCCGCTAGAGATGGACACTAAACTTGTGTAGATTTTACTCCTGTTCCTCTAGTCCCAAGCAAAGCCAGCAGTGTAGAGCAGAGGTAGGAGAGTAGAGAAGGAAAGAATTTCATGTCACCAGAGAAAGTGAAGAGATTGATCTCCTGGAGGACAAGGGCCGTGCTCTGTTGAAGCACCCTCAGACCCTCTTGGCCTTATATCCAAGGGTGGGATCCAGAACCAGTGGAGCACTCCTTTATGTCCTGCTAGAAAAGAAGCACAGATCTTGCTGGAGAAGCTACCCACATCAGCACCACCAGCTTGTTTCCACACCCAGTTCAAAGAGTACAGACTAAAGCCCCATCCATCTTCCAGCTAAATAAGACCCCGTTGGCATCTCTCCCCGCGGGAAGTGGAGCCGATGCCTGTGCAGCCAACAGGACAGTTGTACTTCCAGCGACAGCCGAAACTTGATTTGTCATCTCACACCTTGAGGAGAAGTAGTGTAGAGGTTTTTTTGCAGGACGGCCACTCTGGAGACCCAGCAGACAGCTGCCTACTAGTGAACAGTTCGTTCCTTCTGTCTCTGGTAATCTGGAAGGGAAGGAGAAGGCAAGACTGAAAGAGGAGGAGAGGCAGCTGATGGCTGTGGTGTATGAAGAAATCACGGACTCGTAGGTCACGCAGTAAGTGAATCCAAAAACCCAATTCGACCATCTTTATTGCTACACAGAGAGACTTTTATACACTGAGACAGAAACCTACTCCCCCCATAATGCCCAACCATGGACTTACAAAAATATTTTTTTACCTTCTACTGAGCTTATCACAGTAACAATTATTCTACTATCAAGACAGGTTTTGATTCCTAGACTGTGCTCTGTTTTTTGTCAGGATGTGCTTCAGGATGCAAAACTTGTAAGTCTCACTCCTCCCCTGCTCTCAAGGTCACTACTGGCACACACTGTTGCTCCAGAGGCAAGTAAATCTTAACTATGTGAGTGACCTTTCACTCAGCCCACATATGGCAAAGGGGAATTGGTCAAAATGTTACAGGGAAACATATATTCTGTTTATACCTCACAAAATAGAGGTAGTGTTTGGTACCCTCTTGGGTAGCAGCTGGCTTTAAAATAGCAACTTTGCACCCCAGCCAGTCATTTCAAGTTATTTTAGGGCATTTAGAAAAAAAGTTTGTTTAAACTCCTCTCTTCCCCTGCTCCATATTTTTCTGCTTTCTTCACTTAAGGGTCAGTTTCCATTTTATGAAGAATCCTTGTTTGCCTTGACTTCTATTTTCCCCCCCCTTATATCTACAAACTTTATAGGTGAAAAAAACTGTGAGTTAATACAGTCTTTTCCCTCACTCAGAATTTAAGTGACCATAGGGAGGGATAAAATCCACAAGCAGCATCCACCAGCGGCACAGGGCCATTAATGAGAGAACTAATTCCTGTGTTATTCAAAGATAAATAGTATGTTCTACAGCTCTGAAGTTAATGCTTGCATCCAACCAGCATCCCACCTTTTATCACTGTGTTGTTAAGCCCCGCTCCGTAAGTTTTTCTATGTGGACAGCTGAAGGCAGTCCTTACTCTTTTGACTTGGTAGCTGTCCTGATCTCCAAATCAAAACCCAATGTTCTTTCTGATCTGCAGGCTCTTAACACTATCTATGACCTTAGATTCATAACTGCTAAGCTCAGGTGGCATCGGCAGGGATGGGTGGCATTCTGCTTCCCAAGGAGAAATACTGCTTGGTGACTGGACTTGGAGCCAGGGGGCACTTACTGTAGGGGAAGTAACGCACGCGCATGGTGATCTCACGGGCCGTCTTCAGGATCTCCACAGCCTGAAAACAGAAAGAGTTGCTCAGTGACCGGAGTGGGCTAGAGGATAGGAAAGAGGAACGCAGCAGTTACGAGGTGCCACCAGCTGAGATGGTGTGTGCACGGACTTCCCCATCCTGTCCCTCCTCCAGGAGCTGGGCCTCGAGAGTGCTCACCTTGCTGTGCTCAATGTCCTGGAAATCCACATCGTTCACCGAGAGCACCTGGTCCCCTTCCTGCAGCCCAGCTCTGTGCGCATCCGAGTCGGGGATCACCTGCAGAGGGAAGAGCAGAGACAGCAGCAGTGACCCCCCCAGTACAGCCAAGGCAGCCCAGCCCCAGAGCCTCCCCACAGCGCCCACCTCACTGGGAAGGATGGGGACTGGGGGACTGTGGTGCACCAGCAACACTCCACGGGGTGTTGGGGTGTGGGGAGAGATCAGGGAATGGTGCAGAACTGTCTGATTGCTGCTTGGTGGGTGGCAAATTACAGCTACGAGTCTGGAGATGCATATGAGGCATATGACAGTCTCCACGCACACCCAGCTGGCTCAGCAACACCCAAAGGGACAAAACGCAGGGAGGGAATGGCAGAAGGACAGACACACCTTTGAGATGAAGATCCCCAGCTGCGAGGCTTTTCCTCCCCGGATGTTGAAGCCCAGCTGTGAGAGAAAGCAGCAATGAAATGCAGTCACACCTTCTGGGCCAGGACCCTTCCCGCTGCTAATATGTCCTTTCCAGATGGAGCAAAGGTGTTGTTGCTGCAGCGTTCAGCCAGGGAGCTGCAAGCACCGGTCCCCCTCTGCTAATTTCTGTGGCAATCTCACCCTCAACACCTGAGGAGCTCCCTGTCCTTTACCATCTCCCCTTCACAACATATCGGAGTTCACCCACAAAGCTTTCTTTTCCCTCTACGGCACAGCCCTTCCCAGCAGGGCAGGAGCAATGCTTCCCCCTATCCCACCCACCCTACCAAGTCCCTGGATGAGGGAAGAACCAGGAACCTCCCCCAGCCAGACCCTCAGCACCATATCTTGCTACGAGGATGCTGCCCATCAGGGATAATAATCCCACATGGAGTTCAGCCTCTCCATCAACCGATCCTTGCCATCAGGAACAACATCCATGAATCAAACTGTGTACTGTGTCCAGCTTTGGAGTCCTCAACACAGGAAGGACATGGCCCTATTGGAACGGGTCAAGCGGAGGGCCACTAAAATGATCAGAGGGATGGAGGACCTCTCCTATGAAGACAGGTTGAGAGCTGAGGTTGTTCAGCCCGGATTGTGTCCAGCTTTGGAGTCCTCAACACAGGAAGGACATGGCCCTATTGGAACGGGTCAAGCGGAGGGCCACTAAAATGATCAGAGGGATGGAGGACCTCTCCTATGAAGACAGGTTGAGAGCTGAGGTTGTTCAGCCCGGATAAGAGAAAGCTCCAAGGAGATCTTATAGCAGCCTTCCAGTACCTAAAGGGGACCTACAGGAGAGATGGGGAGGGACTCTTTGTCAGGGAGTGTAGCAATAAGGATGAGGGGTGATGGTTTTAAGTTGAAAGAGAGGAGATTCAGAGTAGATACCGGAAAGAAATTCTTTATAGTGAGGGTGGTGAGAGCCTGGAACAGGCTGCCCAGAGAAGCTGTAGTTGCCCCATCCCTGGAGGGGTTCAAGGCCAGGCTGGATGGGGCTTGAAGCAACCTGGTCTGGTGGGAGGTGTCCCTGTCCAGGGCAGGGGGGTTGGAACTGGATGATCTTTAAGGTCCCTTCCAACCTGAACCATTCTACTGTTCTATGAAACACCGCAAACCCCACGCCGAGGAAACGACCGGGCAGAATCTGTCGTTTCCCCCCCCTCCCCGGTGCTCATGGGGCCGCAGCGGTGGCCGTGGTGGGGGGGGGGTGTTAAGCGGGGTCTCACCTGCGCCCCGGGCGGCTTCTTCAAGACGATGGTGCGCGGCAGGAACTGGGTGAGCTCGTTGTTGTAGTCGGGGTGGTAAACCCTCTGCAAAGCAACGCGCCGGCGGCCGTCAGGCGGCGGGCCCCGCCGCACACCCCCGCGCCGGGCCGGGCCGGGCCGGGCCGGGCCACCAGCCTCCTGCCACCAACCCCGGGGCGGGAGGGCCGCCCACCCTCCCTCCCTCCCTCCTTCCCCACCATCCCCGTCCCCTCACCTCATGCGGCGGCACCCAGGCGGGCGGGCTCTCGTAGGGCGGCAGGAAAACCACCGGGAAGTCGTCGTAAGGCAGCCGGCCCTCCATGCTGCCCCGCCGCCTGACGGGACCGCCGCCTCGCGCTCCGCCCCGCCCCGCCATTGGCTGCTGAGGCGCGCGGCCTCTATTTGAATGTTGGCGGTTGCCGGCGCCGCCATCACTACCGGCCACAGCGGCTCTCTCAGGCGGGGTCCGCCGCCGCCGCCGCGCTCTCCGCTTCCCTCAGACACGGCCATAGCGGCGTCCTCAGGTGAGTTCCGCCGCCGCTCTCTCCGCTTCCCTCAGGCACGGCCGCTGCCGGGCTGGGGGGGCCGCCGCCGGTTGTAGGCTGCAGCGGAGAGGCCTTACCGGGCGCGGGTGGCGGCCGCCGGGGGTTGTAGGCCGCAGCGGAGAGGCGTCACCGGGGCTTCGTTCCTCCGCAGGGCGGCCTGAAAATGTTGAGGGAAGACGAGAAAGCGATCCCGGTACGCGTGGCGCTGCGCTGCCGTCCCTTGGTGCCCAAAGAAGCTAGCGAAGGGTGTCAGATGTGTCTGTCCTTCGTGCCCGGGGAGCCGCAGGTAAGGAGTGTGTGTGTCTGTCTGTCTGTCTGCACCCGGGGGTCGAGCTCATCTCCCTGTGTCCCGGGGTTTGCTGCTGGGGCGGCGTGGTCAGCCCTGTCTGTTGTCCTCTCCTCTGCAGGTGGTCGTAGGTAACAATAAGTCATTCACGTATGATTATGTGTTTGACCCTTCTGTCGAGCAAGAGGAAGTCTTCAACACGGCCGTCGCCCCTCTCTTACAAGGCATCTTCAAAGGTTTGTGGTGGCTGAGATCTAGCTTTTTTTAAATTTTTAAAATGCTGGGAGCTTTGGTGGACTCTGCTGTGCGGATAGAGGCACTGCACTGTGTTGTTCTCTGTTCTAACTAATTTCTTCTTTGATCTTATCAGAAAATAGCTATCTAGCTGCTGACTCCATCCTCTAGTGAGAAGCAGCAGTGCTATTTACAACCTCTTGGACACACCACAGGGCTAACAATGACTCCTGTGTGTTCACTGGGTTGTTTTGGTTCCTGAAGATATTTATATAAGGCAAAAGAATTTTCTCAAGAATAATACAACAAATTGATAAACATCCCACGCTAGAATGCTACTGATGCTACAGTGCAGCTGGGCTGACAGAGAATTTCCACTGGTGTTTTTATGACTAGCTCTAGTAAAGCAACAGTGCAGTCTTAAAAAAGAGCTGGAATAATAAATTTATCTGTGTTTGGGGGAGCTTTTAGTTAACTTTTTTCCCCCTTTATGTTGCCAACTGTGATCTCTGCATAAAGCTTGTGTAAACTCACAGCGAGGGGCAGTGCTTTTCTGGAAGGATGCTTTTACTGGAATGCAGTTGGGTTTTTGTTGCCAGAAGTTTCTTCTGGCTCCCACGTGACTGTCTGATCCGGGTGTCCTTTGTTCCCATAGGGTATAATGCTACTGTCTTAGCTTATGGACAGACAGGATCTGGAAAAACCTATTCCATGGGAGGTACTTACACTGCTAGTCAAGAGCATGAGCCTCATGTCGGTGTCATTCCCCGGGTAATCAAAATGCTATTTAAGGAGAAGGACCAAAGGCAGGATTGGGAATTTCTCCTCAAAGTTTCTTATCTAGAGGTAAGAGTTTTGATTTTCAAACTATTGTGAAGTTATGAATTGCAGATAAAGTGAGCTTTCATGACACCACCTCCTTTGAGTAATAAAATCATAGAATTATTTGGGTTGGAAGGGACCTTTAAGATCATCTAGTCCAACCATCAACCGAACCCTGATAAAAACCATGTCCCTCAGCACTATGTCAACCTGTCTTCTAAATACCTCCAGGGATGGTGCCTCAACCCCTCCCCTGGGCAGCCCATTCCAAGGTTTAATAACCTTCTCAGTGTAAAAATGTTTTCTAATCTCCAATCTGAACCTCCCCTGGTGCAACTTGAGGCCATTTCCTCTTGTCCCATCGCCTGTTCCTTGGGAGAAGAGACTGACCCCCCCCTGGCTACACCCTCCTTTCAGGGAGTTGGAGAGAGCCAGAAGGTCTCCCCTCAGCCTCCTTTTCTCCAGGCTGAACACCCCCAGCTCCCTCAGCCTCTCCTCATAAGACTTATGTATTTACTTAATCAAAACTGCATAATCAAGACTATATAAGGTCTTGTCAGGAATAGGTGCTAGGTATCTTTCTCTAAAGTTAAAATGAATTCCTGTAAAGTTAGCTATGATTTCAGCATAACTGTACATCTTCCTCTATGTGAGTTGCTTTCTTGCAAGGCTGCTGACTCTGAACTGCTCTTCTGATGCTTCCAGATCTACAATGAGGATATCCTGGACCTGCTGTGCCCTTCAAGAGAACGGTCATCACAAATCAGCATACGGGAAGATCCGAAAGAAGGCATAAAGGTCTGTTGCTGGCTTAGATATAGGTATATAAGGGGCTGACATGGCTCAGGATGAATGTTTCAGTGAAACAACTGTCTGATTCCTTGAGCGCTCATTTATACTCATAGAATGGTTTGGGTTGGAAGGGACCTTAAAGATCTTGGTGCTCCAAACCCCAATATTAGTGCATATGAAATCATCGCAACTGCTCATCCTTCTCAAAACTGAGTTTTTGATGATTCTTAAGTTTACTCAGAGGGTAATGCCAATAGGATTAGACGTTCATGACTGGCAAGTCCTATTCTGTCTTTTTCTGAAGGCTGATTTAGGTGAATAACTGAGAATGTTGTATTTCAAGTAACTTCACCAAGTTTCAAACTGTTCCAATTGTACAGTTTGGTTTAGCAGACCAAAGGGATCTTGATTTCACTCTTCAAGTGTTCAAGTTCTTTTCCATATATGTGTGTATTGTAAAACACAAACTTTGTGCTGGTGCTTGCTCTGTGTACCTGTTTTTTAGTTCAACTTCTGTCCATTGGTTGTGCTTTACTGCTGCAGTGTCTGTTTGCAGCAGTGGGTAGGTTTTCATACTCACAGCTTAGGTGTGCATGGTGCTTGTAGCTTTGATCCATTTGTTATGTGTAATCTTGTGCTGCTCACTGTCAGCTCTAAAGTTAAGGGGTGTGACTCAGCTGTGTGTTAGTAGTGACATTGTGATCCAGGGAGACAGGCCCCTCAGAGAAAGTGCAAATTGCCAAGCAGTATAACCAGCCCTGACTTCTCAGTCCCCTCTGTCCTTTGTGTCCCCAATACCTGCCTCCCCTCCACTCTGTTCACACAAGTCCCCACCCCTATCAATCAATTTTCATCATCTTCCACCTGGCACAGCTTTCAGTTCCCAGCTTGGACAGGGATATCTGAGGGCAGCTCTGGATTTCTCCAGAGTACTGAGGAGCCCTGTTTCCATCCCGTAGCCCAGCTGGTTCTTAATTCAGTGCAGAGGAACCTGATAAGTGTATGTAGGAGTAGGATGGGGGAGAGGAGATATGACTTAGGGTTACTGATATGAGGTTCAGAACAAACTTTTTCTGGGGGAGTTCATACCAAGCTTCTCCCTTGAAGTGAGCCCATGATTCCTGTGAATGCCTATTTACACAGAGACTTCACTTTATCTGCTCTAGTCTAAGATAGAGGATAATTTTTCTCATGTAAGCTGGGGTGAAGAGGAAGGGGATGCTAAATAATGCTTTCTTCTTGGATACAGATTGTAGGACTAACAGAAAAAAATGTCACCTGTGCCCAAGATACTGTCTCTTGCCTGGAGCAAGGGAACAACGCCAGAACAGTGGCTGCCACAGCAATGAACTCCCAGTCATCACGGTCACATGCCATCTTCACCATTTGCATTGATCAGAAGAAGAAAAATGACAAGTAAGAGCGATCACGCAGCTGCTCCTAGCAGCCATTAGAAGTCAGACAGCTGAGCTACTTGTGAGGCAGTTCCTTTATTTGGCTGTCTGATATGAAGTATATTTTTCAGCCTGGTAGCTCAACTCTGTTAACCACTGGACTGCTTCTTCCCTAACTGCATGTTTACTTGAGAGAGTAAAATACTCTATTTCTGCCATAGGAACACCAGTTTTCACTCCAAGCTACACCTGGTTGATCTTGCTGGCTCTGAGAGACAAAAGAAGACCAAGGCTGAGGGAGACAGACTAAAAGAAGGTCTGTAGGAAAAAAGGATTGGTATAGTCTGGGCTTCTTATAGTCTTTGAGTTAATAAATTGAGTCCTTGTCAAGAAAAGTAAAGCAGTTCTTTAACCTTTATAATGTGCTTTCAAAATCTTCTTAAATTTTTTAAAAGGACAGGAAATGACCAGTTGTTAGCTATTGAGGTAGGTCTACTCACTGTCATCTGTTTGTACGCAGGCATCAACATCAACAGAGGACTCCTCTGCCTGGGGAATGTAATTAGTGCTCTTGGTGATGAGAATAAAAAGGGAGGTTTTGTCCCCTACAGAGACTCAAAGTTAACGAGACTGCTGCAAGGTAAGAGACTGGTGATGATAAAGCCTAAATCTACAGATGCACTTCAAATAGCAAAGTAGCTAAAAAACCCAAGAGCCAAATGGCTACAGGTCAAAGTGGGAGGTGTTAACACAAGGATTGCTTTTATTGGTTTAGGTCCTCTTCTCACTGAAGCTAGACCTCTTCTATAACTGTTTTTTAGGTTACAAATGCACTGAAATGGACTCACCCTAGTCCTGTTCTTATATGATGAGGGGAAACTAGACCAAACTAGTGCATTTCTTGGGTGGGAGGGGGAAGGAAGATGGGAAGTCAAGTCTGGAACCAGAGACCTATACTTATACCCTGATTATAGCTACTTACTGGAGGATATTACAATCAGAAAGAAGCTCAAGCTGTCTGTGCCTTCACTGTGCACATCATGTTTGTTTTGTTTTCTTGGTCTGAACATCTAGACTTTGTGGTACTTACTTCTCAATAGTTGGAAAGATCTCATACATTTTATCTAAATTAGCCTTTAATATAGGCATAGCTATAGTAATGCAATTTACTGGGATTTTTTGGTACAGAAAGTTAGGCTTGTCAGTATTTTTCATACCTGAAGATACCTAATAAAAAGAAACTGGATTACGCAGAGCTGGATATGGGGTCCTGTTTCTTTTTTGATCAAAAGTTTTATGTAGCCAATAGGCATTAGTACAAAACCAAAGGCTAAAATATCATGCAGCTTGATGATCTGAACAAATTTGTTAGCCAAAGATTCTTTAAATTGGAAGATAGTGTGAATTCTGATGTCTGGATATCCATGGAGGTCTTGAGCATTACTGTGGGAAAAGGGAAGGGAAAAACCTGAAAGAATTAAGCAAGAAATGGTGTACAGAAATTCCAATAACTACAAACATTACTCAACAGGACGATTACTGGGGGTTTTGGTGTGAAATTATCGGTGTTTAGAGCTCACACATAATTTTGGGACTATTGGCTTTCGTAAAAAAGCTTTTTACTGACTGGGGCAGAGGAGAAAGTAGATGACAATGGCACACAGCTACACCTGGATATTTTCTACTTGCTGTACCTACAGCTAGAAAATATCAAGCTGTAGTATAGAGATGCACTCACGCAGTCTTAGATATATTAATGATGATATTTTACTAGTCCTCCTTGTTCACTCAGAGCATTGATTATGCCTTGTTTTCCATCTCAGATTCTCTGGGTGGTAACAGCCACACTCTCATGATTGCCTGTGTAAGCCCAGCAGATTCCAATCTAGAAGAAACTCTAAATACCCTGCGTTATGCTGACAGAGCAAGAAAAATAAAAAATAAACCAATTGTCAATCTCGATCCCCAGGCGGCCGAGTTGCACAATCTAAAGCAGCAGGTAAGGGGTGCTTTATGTGGAAGAAATAGATCTGTCCTTTTGGTTCTAAGCTCAGTAAACAGCAAGCAAAGACATCTGATGCCTAACTACACAAAATATGCAAAAAAAAAAAATAGTGTGTGTTTCTTTGTCTCTTGAGATGGCTGCATAAGTGCTGTAAAGGGAATACATGAATATTTCTTGTAACTCTACAGCAACTAATCAATGGTGTAGAAAAATGGTAATGTTACTGTGATTTACATTTCCCTTCCATGGAACAACTTATCGCCTGCTCATTAGACTACAGGCAAAATTAGAAATAGAATGATGATTGCCTTGCTGACATCACCTACCTATGTCCAACACAGAGGGGGAAGTGAAGAGTGTTCCTCTATGGTCAGCTTCAGAGGGAAATCAGTTGCATGAACTAGAATTGGTCAAATTCAAGGCTAGAAGTGCCCAAGGGCTTGTCTACTGCTGAGAGTCACCCAGGCTTGCTGTGTTTACTTGATGGGAAGTATATGATAATCTTTTGTGCTACTTCTCTGTAGAAAAACTCATTAATCTGGTTTCACAATAGAGCAAATAGGCAAAACCACTTATCTCATATGAGTATTCACGAAACTGAATGTTTAGGAACATACTGTAAATTCAAATCACGTATTTAGGAAGGCAACTAAGCTGACCCTTCCTCACATAGAATCACAGAAACACCACGGTTGGAAGGGACCTCTGACATGGTCTAACCTTAAAAAACAAAACAAAAAAAACAACCAAACAAAAAAAACCCTACAAAACACAACACCCCACCACATCACACCCACTCACAAACCAATAATCTTGGGCACAAGAGCACACCCTGAAGAGCCATGTCTACACATTTCTTAAATACCTCCAGGGATGGTGGCTCCACCACCTCCCTGGGCAGGCTGTTCCAGTGACTGACCACCCTCTCAATAAAGTAATTCTTCCCGATATCTAATCTAAACCTCCCCTGCCACGACTTCAGACCATGTCCTCTGCTCTTGTCATTGTTCCCTTGGGAGAAGAGGCCAACACCCACCTTTCTACAACCTCCTTTCAGGCAGTTGTAGAGGGCAATGAGGTCTCCCCTCAGCCTCTTCTCCAAACTAAACATGCCCAGTTCCCTCAGCCTCTCCTTGTATGACTTGTTCTTCAGACCCCTCCCCAGCTTGGTGGCTCTCCTCTGGACACGCTCCAGCAGCTCAATGTCCTTCCTGTAGTGAGGGGCCCAGAACTGAACACAGCCCTCGAGGTGAGGCCTCACCAGTGCCCAGTACAGGGGCACGATGACTTCCCCGCTCCTGCTGGCCCCACTATTCCTGATACAGGCCAGGATGCCATTGGCCTTCTTGCCCATCTGAACACACTGCTGCTCATGTTAAACTGCCTGTCCACCAACACTCCTAGGTCCTTTTCTGCTGGGCAGCTCTCCAGCCACTCCTCCCCAAGCCTGTAGTGTTGCCTGGGGTTGTTGTGACCAAAATGCAGGACCTGGCACTTGGCCTTATTAAACCTCATCCCATTGGCCTTGGCCCATTGATCCAGTCTGTCCAGGTCCCTCTGTAGAGCCTTCTGGCCCCCAAGCAGATCAACACTCCCACCTAGTTTGGTGTCATCTGTGAAACTTACTGAGGGTGCACTCAATCCTCTTATCTAGATCATCAATAAAGATATTAAACAAAACTGGTACGTGACTGCTACGTGAAAGGTAGCAATAGAGTATTGGTTCAGCCAAGTGGGAGACCTGTTCTTTGGATCACCAAGGTCTCTGTCACCCTGCACAGAACAGTATGTCAACTGTGGGTGACTAAACTATGCGTTCCTGGCAAAGAGAAGAGAACATTTTAGAGTAAATTTACTTGAAATACTGTAGCAACACAATTCCACAGGCAATGGTGAAAAGACAGTTGTGGAGCAGGTGACTCATTAAGACTCAAGATCTTAATAGTGTTCCTTCAACCATCTAGTTACTATATGGGAGAGATTTACAAGCAGTAATTGTTTTTCTTTCTAGGTTCAACAGCTACAGGTGTTGTTGCTGCAGGCCCATGGAGGGACTCTCCCGGTGTGTCTCAAGTAAGATTTGTAGATAAATGCTCAATGTATCTTATGGCCACCAAACACCAGTGAAGGCTCCAGGTCTCTTGTGCAGTACTGTAGAGTGAGGGTAAAGCAAACTGGTTGCTTTCTAATATAAACTGGACAGTGGGTTTTGGTTTTTTTTGTCATTTTTACTGAAATTTACTGCAAAGTAGGTATGGGCTGTTTAGTTTTGTAGCAAACCCCTTTAAGATTGCAAATATCATTTGTAGGGAAGAGGAACTAGGCAATGTCTCCTAAGTATCTGTTTCTCAGACCCATCCATCCCTCTTTCTTCATCACTCCTCTATCCTTAAATATAGGGCACCTCCATCTCCATTGTCCTTAAAAGCACAAAATGCAGGGAAGAGTGTAATTGTGTTTCAATGTTTCAAAACCCAAGTACATGCAGTTTACAGAGTTGCCATTAAACAAGGGTGTTCTCTTGCAAATACCTACTTTTGGTATGCTGTATTGCTTACATTTTTAAATTCAGATTAGACTTCCCCAGTTATTTCTGTTCATCTGCTACAACCTGTATTTATTGTAAGTTATTTAGGAAATTTGGAGGTAACTTCAGCGCTATTACAAACCTCTAGTGAAGTCATGTTCACAAGCAAACTGTTCCTTAATGTTACAGTAGCATGGCACCTTCAGAGAACCTCCAGTCCCTCATGGAGAAGAACCAGTCACTAATGGAGGAGAATCAGAAGCTGAGCCGAGGCCTGAGTGAGGCTGCTGGTCAGACAGCACAGATTCTGGAGAGGCTCATTCTGGTAAGGTTCAGTTACCTGAGGTTTTCGGTTTTTTGTTTGGTTTTTTTTTTTTGGAGTTGCATGATTCACCCCATTTAGCTGAAGATTGATCAATAGCAGCTAAGGGCACCTTAGGAATCTCTCTTTAATGTTAATTTCACGTTTATTTCAAATCTCTAGCTTTGTCAGAATCAAAAGTCTTCCAGAGCCTGTCAGTTTATAGATTTGGTGTCTTCAGTGGGGAAAAGTAGACCTGAACCTTTCAGCTTTTCTGTCACTTTAGTGTTTTAAATACCAGCGCTTGCACATGTGTGAGCTCTCTTCCCTCTTCCCCACCCCGCTCTGCTTTGTTTTGATTCACTGGGGTGTGTATAACTGTGGAAAAGGGTGTTAAGTCTAAATAAACTAGTGGTGATGATCATGGTTATATCTTCCAGTAGACTGATTTGCCACAGACTGACAAATATCTTTTGCTACAGATAAATTAGCTGTTTTCTCGCTTATCTTGCTTTTCCTACAAATCAGTATAATTCTGACTTCCCTTAGACAGAGCAAGAAAATGAGAAGAAGAATGCCAAACTAGACCAACTTCAACATGCTGTGTAAGTCTATTTCCACACCCTACTCATGCTGAGGGAATGTCCTTCAGCATTAAATGTTTTTTGTTGGGATAAACCGGATACGGTCAAATGTGTTTGTTCATCCAGAACTCATTCGTATGTTCAGTGGGGAAAGCTGTTTCTTATTGGCACACGTGACACAAACATGGCATGTAATACTTGGGGACTTATTCCTATGTCTGCCTTGCAGGTGCAAGCTTGATCTGCAGAACCTGGCAGAGACTGTGGAAGATGAGGAAGTAAAAGTGAATGTAGAGGTGATTCGCAATCTGAAGCAATTGTTGGCCCAGTTCCAGGTAAGACTGAATTCAGGGAGAGAAGAGTGTCAAGCCAGTTTAGGAATAAAACCTAGGGTTCTTCTGCCCATCTGCTGAGCAGTGGATTTCACTCTGCAGAAGCCTTGTTTAAGGAGCCCAGAAACTACAAGTATTAAATGACTCTTGATATATCCACTCCAAAACAAGCTGTCCTGCTGAGCTTTTCATGCTGTAGAAAGGCCACTTTGTGTCTTTGAGTGGCTGCATGTGATGGGGGGGAAAAAGGAAGAGTCTCCATAAAAGAATCTGATAGTGGGAGATTTACAATCTGAAAATTGGAGGGACACTTATAAACTCGGTAGCTTTAATGAGGAATCCAAATTGCAGAGACCTGAAATCGTTAAATAGAGGTTGCCAAATCTTTATCTAATTGAGGAACTTCTCTGTTTGCCCTCGCTAGACATTCCCCCTGTTCCCAGACTCCTTACTCTTGCAAGGAGGTGGCTGCCAGTGCTGGAGTTCAGGGAAGACTAGAAAGAATGCCTTGTCCAGCTAGTTTAGGAGGAGTATGCTCACTTTACTAAAGGAGGAAGACAATGGCATCTTTTTTTCCAGAGATAGCTTTCTGGACGGAGGACAATAACATCGTGCTTTGTCATTATAGGGCAACAGCTTCATCTGTCACTTTTTACCAAAATTTTCGTTTCTTTGTCCTGTACAGAGTGAAAATGCTGCTGCAATGGAAACTGCTGCTGAGATGGCAAACTCTGAACAAGATGCTGCAGCTGTAAGTGAGGGGAGTCCAGCACTGCAGACCTTGAGGGGCATGGTTTTATCCCATCACTCCTTTTATCTGCATCCTTATGCTAGTTTTCCAAGCCAAATGTTTGATAAATAACACGTCACTCTTGTATCTGCTGCCTTTCTAGGCTCTTATTTGCTCAGTGTATTCAAGATCAACAACCTATTCTCATTTCTGAATATCTAATCTTTTACAAGTTAAAAAAAGGAATTTGAAGTGTTCTGCAGAACAGTGATCGTGTAGTTATAGAGCTTTGGACTGGCTTCCCCAGCTCATTGCTGTGTCTCCTCCAGGAAGCAGAAACAGGACAGGCTACCAAGAGATCCTCGGATGATTTCAGCATTCAACATGCCCTCCGTCAAGCCCAGATGTCCAAAGAGCTGCTTGAATTGAATAAAGCCTTGACTCTGAAAGAGGAACTTGCCAAAAAAATGACGCAGAATGGTAGTCAGTTGGAGCCCATTCAGTCCCAATACCAGGTAAACTCTTCCGAAATAGTTCTTGTAAGGCTTTGTTCAGTTTCTTTTTCTCAGTTAATGCAGTCACTGCACGCTGAGGAGGGGAGGGAGGAGATGATCTGTCTTCTCATGAACATCTATTATTGGGTCTATCTTTCCTTAAGCTGGTCACTGCCCCTGTGGGCACAGGGGGACACTCAACTACAGATGTGAGCAGAGAAGGTGCGGGGATGACCGTGCCCAGCTATCTACAAATAGATCTACCACCAGAAGATGGTCTTTTCCCTGAAACAATCTATTAGCCACTAGCTGTTCTATATGAAATGAGCTTCTCTGCTTTTTACTCAGAGGTCAGCTTGGCCACACCGAGCAAAAATGCAGATACTTCATTGGTAACTCTCACAGTAGAGCCAGCTGATCTGGCTTCCCCTCTTCACTCCCACCTCTGAAATTGTTCAGCTCTTACAGTGGTGTTTGTGGACCAACTGAGATTGCAGTGTGTGGAGGATGAGTCCTTTTGACTCTACTGCTTTTAGACAAGGTGTTTTACAGCCTATTGGAAAGGAATGTGGTTTCTCAAGGCCTACTGCCTTAAAGCTTTATCTTGGAGTGTAGTTTCAAAGTCTTTATTTTCCTACTCTTGTCCTTTCTAGGCAAATATCAAGGAACTGGAATTGGAGGTCAGCAATTTGCAAAAAGAAAAGGAGGAGCTTACCCTCGCTCTGCACATGGCAAAGAAGGATGTCAACCAAGCCAAGTAAGAGTGACTCTGGAAGCCCTGTGGCTTCTAGCACTGCAAACTGTGTTCGTGTGTGTGTATGAAAATTCATGGTCTTGCACTTCTATTTCTAAAAGCTCTTATTTTGATGCAAGTGCCTCCCTTTAAGATGCAATGTGAGTTGTATGAGCTGCAGAGAAGCCTGAGAGTGGGCTTTCATCAATGGGAAAGGTGCTAACAAACAATTGCTTTATTTTTCATAAAGAGTCTCTGAAGTTGGAGGGTACTTGTTTGAGAATAATAGTAATTAGGGGGGCTATTCTTACAGTGTGACTTCTTTACAGACTGAGTGAAAGGCGTCGCAAAAGACTTCAGGAGTTGGAAGGGCAAATTAATGAGCTGAAGAAAAAGCTGAATGAGCAATCAAAGCTCTTAAAGCTGAAGGAATCTACGGAACACACGGTCACCAAACTGAACCAGGAAATCAGGGTAACTAACTTGAGCGTGCAGTTCTTGAGCTTGTTCTTGAGTGTGTAGACACAGCAGCTTCCAGACAGAAGGCACTCACTTTGGTTAGCATGAGAACACCCATTTTTGGCAAGACTCCTTTGGCTACGTGACCACCAGGCAGGTGGCTCTTAAAACTTGGAGGAACAGAAGTCCAAAGCATCTTCTGGTTATTCTGATAATTTATTGCCTCGGTCAAATCACTTGACTTCTCTTTGATTTCCATGTGTATATCATGCATGTGTTTGTCTTCCCTTTATGCCTTTAAAAGACAAATTCCTAGGTTTAAGTGCTTGGAGAATGTCCTTAGGTGTGTACTCTGAGTGGGCAGCACGTTGTAATATTTCCCATCTGCCACTCCCCACCCCGACAGACACACTATGGGAAATGCAGGTTGGAACTACCCAGAATTCAAGTACTGGACAAATCTTCCAGCCATTTCTGCTTTTCAGGAAATGAAAACCCAAAGGGTACAACTGATGCGCCAAATGAAAGATGATGCTGAGAAATTCAGGCAATGGAAACAACAGAAGGATAAGGAAGTGATCCAGCTGAAAGAACGGGTAAGCAAACCATAAGTCCCCAAACTGTACCTCCCTCCAAAGAGTGAAACAAATCATTAAAGTGTTTGCTGCAAGGCTTTGTTTAACTAGCAAGCATCTGAAAAACATCTGGGGAATGCTTTGAAGATAACTTAGTTCATATGGTTGCCACCTCTTACCAGTTGCTGTAAATGGACTGGCTCGCTGATGTCTGAAGATCTTCAAGCTATCAATACAGCTGTCATGATTCAGCTCTAAAGCAGAAGGCAAAATTGTTTAATACTACAAATACTTTAAAGTTGTAAGGTTTGTCCGCTAAATGGGAGGTATTTAAGCTTTCAAAGGAATATGGAGTCTGCAGGTAAAGAGAACTGGTAATGAAATCCAGCTGCTTGTAGCATTCAAGTGTAATGGACAGCAAACATCTGTACCTCTTGTTCTGGTGTCACAGGAGTTCTTACTGTAACAAGTAATCTTCTCAATGTTTTGGGACACTAAGACTTAAATATTTGGTTTGCAATCTCTTACAGCTTTCAGGGTCCTAAACCTTTTTAATGGAAAGTGTGGAGCTCCTTCTAGTCATTTTAACAGCCGTTTGTTCTCAGAGGCACTTGTAATGATCAGTGAAATCACTATTATGAAGCACTTGAATTGCAGAACAGCAAATGTAATTACGTTCCAAGAAGTGTGAAACTGGCCATAGGTATTAACATGATATGATTTTATTTTATTTATTTTTTTTCTATCTGTCTTAACACTGTTTCCCTGCAGGATCGCAAGAGACAATATGAGCTGCTTAAGCTAGAACGAGATTTCCAGAAGCAGGCCAATGTACTTCGACGCAAAACAGAAGAGGTAAGGAACCAATATCTGCTAGAAACTCCTGAGCAGTTCCTGAAGGTCTGCAAAGGAGATTGGAGGTTGTAATAAGATATGCAGAAACTTCTTAAAAACAGTTTGCAGGTCGGGAAAGAGGTGCCTTTCTCTCTGTAGAAAAATAATCTATCTTGTAGCCTTTGAGGCATTCTAATTAAATCTGCTCCTTAAAGCACTTCGAGTATCAGACTGCTGCAGTAAATCTATAACAGACACCCAAGAAAGTGTCTAATGAGCTTGGGTGGACCATTGTTTTGGATGCTTTCTTCTACCTTTAAGCCTAGAAGCAGATTCTCTTTAAACCGGGAATCTCAGCAAAGGAAACTAGATCAGGGATTTTAGTCTTCAATTGATCCTAAAGTTTTATTAATGTCATGCTCTCTTCTCACTGTCTGTGAATACCTGAATACCTCAGGCTTTCAACTGTTGTGGATTAAGTGAAGTAACTACTATTCAGCTCTTGTGTTGAAATATTTTGCAGGCAGCAGCCTCTAACAAGCGCCTGAAGGATGCTCTGCAGAAACAACGGGAGGCTGCAGACAAACGGAAGGAGACTCAAAATCGGGGAATGGAAGGAGTTGCTGCCCGAGTAAAGGTGGGTGACAACATGTTGTGCAGCCCAACAGACAACGGGCAAACTCAGCTTTAACTCAGTAGGTGCTGCTGGGGTTGGTGGCTGAGCAGAGGGGAGGAACATGGAGTTAGATATTAAGAGAGACAATGTGATTATTCAATGTGATTATTCAGTGTATCTGGTGAAGGCATTTTGGAGGAGAACTCAGTCCTGAAGTTGAGGCTATTGTTTTTGGGTTGATTATTTTCTCCTAGAGCTGGCTTGCAAATGAAGTAGAGGTACTTGTTAGCACTGAAGAGGCTAGACGGCACCTTGCAGACCTTCTGGAGGACAGAAAGATCTTGGCCCAGGATCTCCTTCAGCTTAAAGAGAAGAAAGAGGCTGGGGAAAACCCACCTCTAAAGCTCCGGGTAAGAGAAGGAGATACCATTTTTCCTGTCCCATACCTCTGGCTGTTCAGCAAGTTCTGTAACTTATTAACTCCTGTTTAACCTTTTCCCTCAGAAGGTAGGCATGAAGATGTTCCCTTTCTGGAAAAAAGGGTTAAAGTTGTTACTGTCCTCTGGCATTTCAGGGAACAGAGTTGCTAAAGTAACTTGTTAATTAATGCAATGTATCTAATGAATGGGAGTGTGTGATACCTTACCACAGACTTGAGGTCCCTTCCGGCCTGGGCAATTCTATGATTCTATTCTATGATTCTATGACTTGATGCTTTTGGGAAGGAACAATGGAATTTAATTAATGGATAAATACTTGAAGGCTCTATAATAGTATGGCTCCTCTTTACTGCGGTGTTTGTAATGGAAACATCAGTCATGTGTGTATTTCTTCACCTATTGCTCACTTCTGGCTATTACTGCAATTCTGTAGAGACGCACCTACTCCATCACAGATCTGCAGGCATCAGAGATGGACCTTTCCTTATCTAAGCAGATAGAAAGCCTGGAAACTGAGATGGAGCTCAGGTAAGGCAGTATGACAAAGCTGCTTTGCACAGCCTTGCCTCCTTTTGCCTCCTTTTTTTTTTTTTTTTTTTGCCTTATCTCTATCTACAACTCTTCTGTGAAACAGAAGAGAAAGTGAAATAACTTATACACAGATACTAAAAATGATGAGATAAGACCATGTGGCTTTCCTGGTCTGAATTTTTCCAAGAATGTGTGGATATGAGGACACTACTCAGTCGCTAAGATTGCTTTTTTTTTTTCTTAACTGTTTGTGAGCATCTCTGTATGAGGGAAACACTGCGCTTCTAGTGGGAAGTGTGGAGGGAGGATTAAACTCCCTGGAATACCATTGCAGACTCCAGCTGCTGTATGAAGCAGTCAGAATTCTTAACTTGAACTCTTTTTGTCTAATATTCTAGTACCAGTAATTTCAGCCCAGACACTAGCCCAGGTTTTCTCCTGGGTTGTAACCTCAAATACGTGCTTTCTTCCAAAGGAGCGCCCAGATTGCGGATCTCCAGCAGAAACTCTTGGAAGCAGACAATGGAGATCGTGTAAAACAGCGTTGGGACACCATTGCAACCATTCTAGAGGCTAAATGTGCTTTGAAGTATCTCCTTGGAGAGGTAAGTTCTGAAGTTTCTTATTTAATTGCTAAAAACAAATGCTTGAAGTCTGCTTAGCCAGGAATGAAGGGAAGTGATCAACAGGCTGATAGCAGAGATGAATGCAAGTGAAGCGCTGCTGTACTAGATGAGGTTTATTTCCCTCAATTTCTGATTAAACCATTCTCTTGCACTGTGGATCATTTTGGGGAGTGAAATCCAAAAAGAACTGGGAGGGGGGGAAACAGAATAGACACAGGTCTGGAAATACCAGCTAAAGAGCTTACAGAAGGCTCTCGTGGGAATAGTAAAAGGGAAGAGGCAAATTTCAGAAATGGAAGAGAAGTGAAAGTACGTGAAAATACTGAACAAGTAGGAAACCTGCAGGGGGGGGAACAAAGGGACCACTCTCTGAAGTCAGAGGAAAAGCAGTGACATGGATGTTGGGATGGGAGAAGCTTGAACAAGACCCAGGGGTAGGAGAGAGTAGGAATTGGACTAATGTGGAATCAAGAAAAGAGCAACTGAGTGGCAGAATTGTGTGTCAGTCCCTGGTCCAAATTCTTAGGGTGGTTAGAATTTAGGCAGAAATGCTTTGCCTTCATACTGAAGCCTGTCTGCCCCACCAGACTTTAGGAAACATGGAACTCATTGACCTGGCAATCACCTTGCTTTTTTTTTTTGTCTTTCAGCTTGTCTCCTCAAAAGTGCAGGAAAGCAAGTTGGAGAGCAGCCTGCAGCAGAGTAAAGCCAACTATTCGGACATGCAAAAGATGCTGACTGAAGAGCAAAACCACATCACAGAGCTCCAAAATCAGCTTTTGGTGCGGGAACAACAGCACCAGGGGGAGGTAAGACATCAATGATAGAAATCCTGAGAGATCCTGTGTCTTGAGACTGATTCCCAGATCTCCTCAGAGACACAGGCAAAGCGTTGTGCTGAAACTAATATGTTGTTGTGTATCTGAGGAAGATTTGCCAGACTCTTGTAGTATAGCTAACAAAAGCCCTAGAAATCTCCCTATTCATCTTCTGTCTTATGAAAGTTGTTTAATTAAGTAACTTTTCATGGTGCTTTAGGTGAGGATGTTACACCTGAGCACAAGATAACTTTTCAAGTAGGATTGTGCTGGAATTGTCAGAATCTTTCTGAAATTGCCAAGGCCTTTGACAGGGCTGCCAGATGTCTCTTTAGGAATTCACGCCTCCGCTACATTAACTTGCTTTTAGGTTCTGTACCTGCTTAGCCAATTTCAGCAAAAAGAAGCAGCAAAGAAGGAACTGGAAGATTCACAGAGTGAGCAGGAGAAACAACTGCAAGAGCGGCTCAAGTTCCAGGTAGAGTCTCTGGATGTGGCTTTTGGGGGATGCTCATGGTGGCTGCCTCTTGGGCTAGTGACTTCAGAGCCAGGAAGGTGCAGAGAGATCAAAAGCATTTCTATTTGTAGCTAAGATTGCTCAATTCAATTGAGTACAAGGGTTAGTTGCTACACAGGTTTGAATAAGCCTGTGGGTTGTTTTTCTCTTCTTTATCTTTTTCAATTAAATAAATACAAATGCAGCCATGAGGCCTACCACAATCTGACCAGCCCAAGCAACTTCTTCCATGCTCAGAAGGCCTTTAGGATATTCATTGTGCTATTGCTAATCCTTTACACAGCTCCAGTGTGTTATCAGCAATGGAAGATCATATAAACAAGCTGCACTTATTCCTGTTGCTAAGAGGATTAAGTGGGGTAGCAAACTCTTGTGGAAGGGCATGTTCAGTGATGTATTAAAGCAAAATCAGCTTTAGGTGCACCTAATTTTGGAGATAAGTCTTAGAAATAGAGGGAGTTTTAGATCACTCTGAAACGACCATGTTCTCTCTGTTGTATTGGCAATGTCACACATAAAACAAAGCAGGAAGGATTTTCCTCATCTAGAAGTCAGAGCTGATCTCCTGTTGGAGAATACAAAGAAACCCCTCTGGCGTTGCAAGGAAGATCCAAATAGGAAAAACCTGTCCCAAACAACTATTTGTGCTACCCCTGCATAAACCCCACGGATTTCATCTTGTCTTGCAAACAGGAGAAAGAGTTGGAGAAAATGAGGGAGATGTGTGAGAAGAACCAAGAACTTCTCCGGGAAAATGACACTCTTAAACAGGTAGAGATTTGTAGGGATGTAAGTCAGAAGAGCTTCTTGGCAGTTGGGTTATGTATTTGCAAAGTTAAACCTTTGTCCCTCTTAACAGAAAATGCTGCTCCTTCAAGTTGCCAGTGGACAGAAGCTCCGCCACCTTCAGCAAATGGCATCCGAGTCCCCAGAGTCTCCCTTTGATTACGTTCCACCCAAGGTAAAGATTCTGCACACCAATTTCCATGCTCGTATTGTACATGGGTTCTTTTCAAAAGTTACTGTTGGCTATTAATAATCTCAGTTTCTTTCCCTCAAGTTGGTTTTTACAAGGCGTTTCATTTTGTTTTGCTTATTGAAGTGACCCTGTTCTCTGCTTCAGGTGGTCCTGAAGGTTTTTGTTTTCAGAATACTTCTGAAACTAGTTTGCAGTAGGTTTTCAGTCTTTGTGGGGAAAAAAGAAAGGCAAACAAAACTCCAAACCTGTTTCCTCAGTCTAATTACATCTGACTCTGTACACTGCTTAGTAATTCAGGTGTTTTCTCTGTAGCATTTCCAGCCTCTGAATCACAGAGCAAGGCATCTGTCATAGAAAACTTAATTATTGCCTTGCGAAAGAGCAAAATCTTAGTGCTGGGAGGAATAAGTGAACTAAAACTACTTTGCCAAGACTGTGACACAAATCTATCAATTTTCTAAGGATTTTTCAACTTTTTCCTCTTATAAACTCTAGCAGTTTAAATTGACTGTTTTTTGTTTTTTTTTTTTAATCCTGACAATTTGATCTTTTATCTCCTCCCTAACCCTGGAGCTCCCTTGGCTGTCTGAGAGGAATGGGGCTATGGTGGTGGGACTCTGAAATGCCTTAATAAAAATCTAAGTGCACTGTTAGTAACTTCTGGAGCCTCAACTCTTGTCATTTCTATGTGTAGCCAAAGGCTCGCCGGCAAACGACAGCCAAACCCCGTGCAGTGACCCCAGAAATGGATGTGGAAGAGCTGTTCTCTGACTCGGGGGAGTCTGGAGAGGAGATGGGTGATGCAGACTGGGTTCCAGCAAAAGCAGCCAAAGGAGCAAAGAAAAGCGTGACAGGGGTAAGATCCAGTTACTTGCGACTGCTTGGGGACAGGAAGGCTCTACTGAGGGACCTGGACAGCCTGGATCAATGGGCCAAGGCCAATGGGATGAGGTTTAATAAGGCCAAGTGCCAGGTCCTGCATTTTGGTCACAACAACCCCAGGCAACGCTACAGACTTGGAGAAGAGTGGCTGGAGAGCTGCCCAGCAGAAAAGGACCTGGGGGTGTTGGTAGACAGCAGGCTTAACACGAGCCAGCAGTGTGCCCAGGTGGCCAAGAAGGCCAATGGCATCCTGGCTCGTATCAAGAATAGCGTGGCCAGCAGGAGTAGGGAAGTCATCGTGCCTCTGTACTGGGCACTGGTGAGGCCTCACCTCGAGTGCTGTGTTCAGTTCTGGGCCCCTCACCACAGGAAAGACATTGAAGTGCTGGAGCGTGTCCAGAGGAGAGCCACCAAGCTGGGGAGGGGTCTGGAGAACAAGTCCTATGAGGAGAGGCTGAGGGAACTGGGCATGTTTAGTTTGGAGAAGAGGAGGCTGAGGGGAGACCTCATTGCCCTCTACAACTCCCTGAAAGGAGGGTGTAGAGAGGTGGGTGTTGGCCTCTTCTCCCAAAGGACGAACGACAAGAGCAGAGGAAATGGTCTGAAGTTGGGGCAGGGGAGATTTAGATTAGATATTAGAAAGAACTACTTTACTGAGAGAGTGGTCAGGCCCTGAAACAGCCTGCCCAGGGAGGTGGTGGAGTCACCATCCCTGGAGGGATTTAAGAAACGTATAGACATGGCTCTTCAGGGCATGCTCTAGTGCCCAAGGTTATTGGTTTATGGTGAGGTGTTGAGTGTGGGGTTTAGTTGGTGGGTGCGGTGTTTTTGGTGGGCGTTTGGTGTGGTGTGTTGGTTTTTTTTTTGGGTTTTTTTTTTTGTGGTTGACTCGATGATCTCAGAGGTCCCTTCCA